GAAATGACGCCGGGCAGAGCGGAGGTTTGTCGTCTGCTTCACAGCCCATTTTATACCCGATATTTAGGGCATTTCGCAGCACATACAAGTTGTTTTTATCGATAGAATTCATTCATAGATTCCAAATGTTATGTACAAAGTGTCAAAAGCCACACCTCTGCTTCCCTTTAAGGTAGAGATGCAGTTTACTTGACAGGTATTTTAATTAGTTAATTAGGAAACCAAGATGACCTTCCTTGTCCACAAAACTATATATTTTTGGAAAGCTTATTGTATGAATTTTAAAATTTTGTTGTAACACTGTTCAACCAAAACAATGCCCTGACGGCGTTTTGAAGACAAACACATTGTCAATCGTTTGTGAAAATTTCAAAACAAAAGGTCAAAGCGTCTAGGAGCTATTTTTTAAAGTTCTGGGATGTGCACAAAAAGAAGGCGACATAATTGCTAATTTACATAACAATTCACTCAGTAAGAAGTTTGCTCATAATTAAAATGGCTGTAACAGTTTCAAATTTAAATGTATTATCGTTTTGTTAAAAGTTAAATATAGAGATCCAGTCATTTCTTTTTTTCACCATGTTTCTTTTTTATTGTTTATGTACAGCCTTGCTAAATCCTGCTAAGCATTCAATAGATAGAATGTTTGCACCTGTTATCTATATTTTAAAACCGTTTTTTAGTATGTTCCACTATTCACAATTCTACAAAATTTTAACAGTCTATAGCCAAGACTGTTTGGATGATAAAAAGCATAAACAAATAAAAAAAATCACTCCGAAGTGCCCACGAACCTGTATCTCTACTTTAAGATTGTTAATTTTCGTTAATAGTCGTGTTCTTGGACTTAATCTTCCAGTTGGGTATGTTATTTCTACATTTACATCACTATCATCGCAATTGAAAATTTTATATAAATAGGAGGTTGTAATGAAAATTTGTTCGTATCAAGATGGCACAAAAACACAACGAAAGTGATCAGCCTCATCGTGAAGCCTGATGCATATGAAGCGTATTAAATCCGATTGTACACATC